GTCTTTTAGCCTAGTTACTCCCTCAAACACTTAACTTAACTCAACAATTAATACATGAATATACGTAAAAATACGCGAATAACGTATTCAGATCTAATTTAAACTGGCAACACTTTACTTTTAAAACAACCCTAACTTGTTTCACTGCAAGGCGTGCGTGATTCGGTATCACTGCTACTGAATAAATTATACAAGTATTTATAAATTAATCACAACTTAATGAGGTCTATTATTTTGCTTCACTTCCAAGGTCACAGTGGAAGACACACCAGTAGTTTCATGAATAATAGACCTAGGACATTACTAAGAATAGACTTGAAGGTATTGTTAGTTTGACTAACCTTCCCTGTTGTTGTACTGATGGCTTACTAATTGCTCTGGCGCAGCGATTGAAAGTGGGACTTGGTCTCTAGAATAAGAGAACGTCACTTTCACTCAGAGCGTCTTTTTAAAGGTATCTGGGCCAGCAAACGGGTCGTCGAGATTCAGAGATACGCCTTCTTGACGCCTCTTTGCTCTTTCATTCTTTCGAGGCCGGTCCAGCGGAGTCTTTGAGCTCGAGCTTCTCCCATCATGTTGCGGGCGGCAAACAGCTTTTCGAAGTCCTCGTTTTTACATGATCGCTCCCTTTCTTCCTCTGTTTCGGACCCAGAGACCTCGTAGATGGATATGAATCCTGGGCGGGTGTATTGGAAGTTTTCTAGTATCAGCTCGGAAGTTTTTAGGAAGGGGTGTTATCATCCCGTGACTGAGAGAGCACGTTTGTTTTTGCATTTTGAATTTGTAGCAGTCGTTAATGTCCCCAACCTGCTCTTGACCATCGATGGTGGATCTAAGGTCTTTAAACACTCCTATGCGAGAACATGAACTCAGCAGTGGACCGTATTGACACAAAAAACAAAAAAAGAAAAAAAAATATTTCGCACAAATACGTATTCTGATTTACATCCTAAAAGACCAACAAATCCAAATTATATTCATAGGCATCTCAACTGCTACTCTAACCAATAGAGCTACCGTGTCCTTTTAACTTCCCTAAAAAACCTATCCATCACATTGAAGTGTCGTATGTATAGTATGTTTCGTTTTTTCGTCGTCATTGCTAAAGTAAATATGTCGGAGCGAGACAACACATATGCTCGCTATTTTCAGCTTCTACCGAGATGTAAAAATATGTAGGCAATATTTATAATCTGTCCCATCAATCTTCAACGCCGACAGCACATAATTTATCGCTCACAGGTCTAAAATACTAATAATAATTAGTGCTCGAATGCCTATTTGTTCCTGTGAAATTCTATTTCTTTCGCCGCAGGTCGAGTTTGTAATTTCCGTAAATTGAATGTGTTCACGTGATGCCTTACGTAAAGCTTATCGTAACTCAATTATAACGTACCCTAACCATAGTTAACCTCGAAAGCATACACAGGCTTTGTTTTGGTTAAATTATAACTTAACAAAAATATAAAAGCTGCTTTCTCGAGCTGATAGGCCGTCGTAGTGAAAATGTATTCTCGCCGTTTCGTCATCACAAGTTGAGGTCGTCAGGAGTTCCTCAGCTCAACATAGACTGTGAGAAGCATTATCTATACAAATATTAAAAGCTGAAGAGATTTTTGTTTAAATGCTAATAACCAGGGGTCCAGAGACTCCTACCTGGTCCAACATATTCTAATCATATTTTTTTTAAAGTGACATATCTATAAATCTACCTGGTTATCGAATTTCGGTAGGTTGAAAAGCGATGAACTATAATCATGTTTTTATTTCATTCTATGGTTTAGGAATATCCAAAATAATTCGACAGCGCATCTCGTATAACATAAGGGTATAATAATAATAATAAATTGTGCCTGAAAACAACTTTTCAGCACTGCAATTAACCTAAATAAAACACAAAAAATAAAATAACAAAATATACAGCTTACGTAACTAGCATTTGTATAAATTTTGTTTCTGCATCCACAAAGGTTGTGTGGGTGTATTTTGTTGGCTTGTAGCTTTCCATTAAAGGAAGTAAGAGCAAAGGTTATATTAAACAAGTCCTATTTGTATTACATAGCTATATGTACACATTTACACAAAAGACTTTTAATACTTTAAAATATCGGCCGTAGTTAAAATAAATTGTACTAAGTTAAGTCATATATCTTTAAATGTTTTTTATATTATATTCGTGTATATAACTTGCAGCTAAGACATCTCGCAAAAGATATTATATTTTTAAGTTAAAACGAGTTTTTTTGCAGTTCAACAAAGAATCCAATTATTACTATGCACTAATAGATATTATTTTGGTTTTAATTGTTTTCTAGGGATTCGAAACTATCTACCTTAAAGAAAAAAGTGTAAGTAATCATTACAATAATCTCTTTCTATTATTTCAACTGTTGTGTTTTGGTTTTAAAACACTTAAATTTTTTACCTATTGAAAAATTGAATTAAATGTTACATGAATTACCTAATACAATGTACAAAATGAGCTATTGACTTATTTGCTTTATAACATTAAAATATCAATAAACTAAAACCGAAATGAAAATTAACTTCACAGCTTTTCTAGCACGTTGGTTCGTGACCGCAACGGAATTTAGGCATTTCTATTACCCATTTAAATAAAATTGAAGTAGATGGGAATGAACCCACGTACATTAGCCATACATTACTATTAAACCAACAAGCCTGTCAAATGAAATACTAATGTACTCGTAACTTACGTTGAAATTGTCCTTAGTTCTTCCTAAATATGCTAGTTTTCAAATCGTATGGAAAATGTAATAAACGTGGAATTTCACAGAAACACGGAAACGCAAAATATTTCACTTCAATAGTGGGTCCAAGGTTCGCTCAGTGTATAGTTAGTTAAGTGCGGGAATTCGAAAATGTATTATCGCGTTGCATGATAACATATAGTTTGCGTCGGTGACGATTTTCGAGGCAAGGTCAGTACGGACTGTTTGTTTGTGTATTCAATTATTTATTCATTTCAAGATGCCATAGGTACTATTTTAAAAGGGCTGTCTAGTCGTGCTGGCAAATATTTGGTAAAAATGAATTTTTAGGCAAAATATGCATGAATCTATTGTATGTGATGTCTTTTTAATCACTAGGAACCATTATTTTTATTATAGATCGTAGACTATCTGTCGGTGCACGACTTCTATAGAGATACCCGGAAGCTAAAAATGTATTCGGCTTCCTCGAAAAGAACAATAAAGACTTCACAAACATTAACAACTTATGTGTTCTAATCTAAGCTAAACGAAACATTTAAATAAAACACTTTCACGGTTAACGGTCGGGCCCAAGTTAAAAATCATTTTCAAATAAGTTTAACTAATATATCGCGTTTTAAACCGTGAAAGTGTTTTATTTAAATGTGTACACATTTTAAATTGAGAATTTACTTATATCAGGACTTGACAGCATAATCTTGTTACGCCATACCTTACTGTCTACTGATTGTCTCTTACTTTCTGTCTAATTAGTATACTCATCAAATGTGATGTAATTTCTTTTGGAAAAATTGGATTTGGAACAATAAAACAAAAAGCATTTTACTATTTACCACGGTTCTAATATAAACCGTCTCTTTGGTTTTAGAGATAAATACGTCTAAGTACTTAAAAAGACTCTAGGTTCAAATCTCGGAGAAACATGTCTTCGGTTGTCGTCGGTTAATAAATCTATCAGGAATGGATACAGGTATGTGTTTGCTTTTTAAGACAAAACTAGTTGTATCAGCGACTTTGTCCGCGTATAATAATTATTTTGGGCATTAAAATTTGTTTTTTACATCGTTATATTTATAAGCTATTGTCCATGACGTCGAGTCCAATCGATTTTGCAAGTTAATCTTTAAGGACAGACAGACTAGAAATATAGTGTCGCGGACATGTTTTTAGATCATTTATAGCCTTCGTCGACAGATGCTCTGGTCGACTCAAAAATCATTTTCTAAATTTCACCAGTAGTTCCTGAGATTCACGCATGAAACAATCCTATAAACCATGCTTCTTACCACTTTATATGAAGATATTATACAACGAGTAAGGAGGTTTAAAAAAAGCCTTTCAATTATGTCTACGTAACTGGAAAAGTTTCAGCATAATCCTCATCTATATCAAAGAGCATAATTACCCTGAATTATGCAAAATATTATGCTCGACCACGCTATAAAGAACCAATAACGCGAACTCTATGACATTAATTGCTACGAGCCTCTACGACAGTGCTACGGTGTAGACTTTGTAGCTCGTCTGGCGTTCCGAGAAGTGCTAATCACGTACAGTCACAAACTATCAGAATAAAAGAAATAAACAATATTGAACATACTGTCTGTAGTTTACGCGAGTACACATTTAAATAAAACACTGTAACGGTTTAAAACGCGATATGTATTAGTTAAACTTATTTGAGAATTATTTTAACAACGACCCGACATTTCGTATGCTATGCAGCAGCCGTGGTTCACGTCATAGATTTACGATGCGGGCGGGACATGAACCGACATCCATATTGTTCCGTGCTGTGCCAATTGAGATATCATATCCTACACACCATAGTTGTATTTATACCTACTGATACACGCACCTCCCGTGTAGTTTTAATCTAAAACTATGTGCATGTAAAAATATTAATATTCAAATGATATACCATATGTTTCGGTTGGACAAAGAACAAACTCTGATCAATTTGACTGAAAATAAAAGTGATCAGTGAAACTGACTCGCAAACATGTTCGGCCCATGCCCCATAAGGGGAAACGGCGTTTCACACTAAATCTAAAGATCGAAATCTTTAATCAGATTACCTTACGGCGTGTTTACTACATGCAATGACTTGTCATGCCGTTCGCAACCGTTCAAGGCCCGACCTTTGGCCTTCACAGTTTATAATAAGCATTTCTAATATTTATCGTATAACTTACCGCTCTAAAAACCTCGAATGCAACACAGCACACACAACGTGAATTTTACATTCACACGCGCCGTTTATCGTTACAACGGATCTTGTATACCATTGACTCGGACGTGTATTCGATTTTTCTTTGACGTTTCTGATGGATAGTTTTGTTGTGTTCGATTGTGATCGTGCCGTGGTGGATGGTTGCGAGGCCGAGCGGCGGCTACGGTGCGACAATGAAAACTGAAGCCGGCGGCGCGCGCCAGTCTACCCTCCGAAGAGAAAATTGCCTGAATGAAGCGATAAGAGAGCTTTAAGCGCTTACGAGCAATTCGCTAGTAAGCGCGGCACTTTTAATTCCTAATATCTATATTTTTATAGCCCTAAACAATAAAAACTGTTTTTACTTTAACTATGACTGTATTAGTAGTACAATGAACGTTACTTAGACAAAACAGTACATACTATATGTATGCAGGTATAAATAAAGCGCTGGAACAAAGTTGTATTTGAGCGCTGTTTCAGCGTAAAAAGCGCTGAGCGAGCAATACTACGCTCCCGGCGAACGGGTCGATACGCCAGGCAGAATAAACACGCCGTACTAGGATGAGAGGAACCGCGGTGTTGCCAGTAGTGGGTCTCGTCTTCGATTTTGCCGTCTTGGTTATTCGCCGTGGTTTCCACATAAGTTGGCATCGCGTAGCGTTTTATTTCGAAATCCTGTGCATTCGCTTGGCGTTAGGGGTGCTTTGTTTAGTTTTTCTTTTATAAAACACTGATACTGTCTTTGTTATCAGTATTTAAATATTAGAGGAATTATTTTAACGAATATTCTATGGAAATACCGCATATATGAACAATTGGAAAGAGAGTTTATACATTGTTTTATATACTGTCTGTAATTTACGCGAGTAGTACACATTTAAATAAAACACGTTAACAGTTTGAAATGCAAAATGTATAAATAAATTTACTTACAATTTAACTACGACCCGACGTTTCGAAGCCAGCGCGGGCGACGCGCAGTAGTTAAAATATTGTTTTCCAATCCATTTTGCGTTTTTTATCGTTAAACATGTTTTACTTAAACAGTGAACTTATTTACAATTTATTTTGACGACGACGCTTCGGGTGACTTGCAGAACTGTTAGTCTCCCATGACCATGTAATTTAATTGTAGAATTATTACCAATAGTCCTTAAGAGAGTATTTTTTTAATTTTTATGTAATACTAGCTGTGCCAGCCACTTCGTCCGCGAGAATCATTATTTTGGGCATCCAAATTAGTTTTTGCAAACCCCGTTTTCTTTATAAACTAAGCTGTTAGCCATGACGTCGATCGCGTCCCTTCCCGTCGTTCTTGCAAGTTAATCATAAAAGATAGACATATAGCGTCGCAGACTTTTTTTAGCTCATTTAAAGAGGAATCATTCTTTTATATTACATTTTTAGGTATCTTGAACCGTTTTCGCATTGTACGCACCTGAAACCCACTGAGATGAAAGATCTTCCCCATTTTGTTCACATTTTCCGCTGTATCTTCGCTTCTATTAGTCGAACGAAATCAAAAAAATATTCAATTAGAACCCGTAGCTCTTGAGATTAGCGTGTTCAAACAAACAAACAAACGTTTCAGCTTTATATATTAGGATAGATAGACAGATATTTAGTTAAAGCTTTGCATACCTTTAAGTTCAATATGTAAGTAGTAATAATTATTATTAGAAATAGATCTTGTAAGTTTAATTATGTATGTAGTTCGTAACCCTTGTATAAATAAATAAATAAATAAACACATTTCACGTTTTAAATCGTTAAAAATACTTTATTTAAAAGAGATATTTCACTTATAAAAATGCAATAAATTCGCTCTGATAAATGTTCTCCCGAAAATTCCGATTATAATTTTGTCAAACTAGAAGGACGCCGAAGCCATAAAAATGATACTTTAAGAAGAGATAAAAATAGTTATCTGAAAGGACTCGCCGCCCTAAGACAGAACACGTAAATTTAACGTACAACCGTCACTTATCTGTACGTTTGATACAGTACAATTTCCATAATAATGTCATTTATAGTCAGATAAGGTCACCTCGCAATTTCGCCTTTGAATTTTTATTATAAACATATCATACATTGGGGTACACTCTAACTTGTCTTATAAAATCTGGCACCTAAGAACACATTTACTAATGTCTTCGCTCTTATTGTTCGCAGTTTGTTGTTGTATAGTGTAAAGAAGAGAAGCACAGACCGCTGCCCGCCGACAGCAAAAACAATACTTAAATTATTACATTATTATTTTTCAATTTTAGCACATTTTTATCAATTCTTTATTTCCTGTACTTATGGCGGTCCATCGGTTTATGATTTGCCCAAGTAGCCTCTAGTCTCTGCATCCCTGGTCTAAAGCCTTCTCCATTATTAATCTATAACAAAAAAAACTCTCCAGCTTTCCAAAATTAGTCTAGCTATTATTATTTATTAACTTTATCCTTTTGAAGATCAAGAAACTTCTGTAAATATGTTTTCAAAACATTTTCTTAACAAGGTTATATATATATTCTCGTAGATAAAATTAGGGTCCTTCCAGATCGCTGTAACAATTGTAGTTACATCCAGTCAGCATGTTAAGACGCCATGTGTTCATTCGCAAACGAGTCAACTTATTAAGTGGCGGCCGTAAACAGTTTTACAACTTACGGCCATGTGTTAACTGCCTATAACGGTTACAATTGAAAGGAAAGTACCTATGTTATTCTACTAAATACTTACTTAATAGGCTTTACGTTAACGTCGGGCTATAGTTAAGATTGTAAATATCTTAACTAATATAATTCATGTTTTAAACTGTTAAAATATGATTAATTAATTATACGATTAATATATATATAATAAATTTTCAGAAACATGTTCAACTACGTAATATATGAATTACCTTATTTCTCAATATTGAATTCTTATTATTTTATATGTTCACTTAAAAATAGGTCCAAAACAACGTAGTGACATAATTATATAGACACCTTCTTTTGTCTATAAGCCAGTACCGAATCAAGTTTTGTTAAGTTAGCTGTTTCAGTTACCGTCAACTTGATTGCTTTCCTCTTTATTGTTCTTCTTCTTTGATTTATATAACTAACGTCATTTAAAAGTAGACCTGTTTATATAGTTGTTTTTAGTATATTAGCATTGCCGAACTAAAATGAGAGGTTCGAATCCCTAAGAAACAATAATTTGTTTCAGTCTATTTACAGATCAACAAGCCTATAAATAAAATCCATAATTGTAACTTATACTGACGGATACAAATGTGTTCGCCCCATGTCTCACAGGGCGAAATGTGATTTCAAAGTAAATATTCTTATCGTTGTAGTTTTGAGTTTAACGTTTTCTTACTATTTCAAAAATAATATTCACTTGATTGAAGGTGAGGTACCCCAGCCGTTTAACATCTCAACAAGATGCGCTGACGATCTATTTTCGCTTCGGATATTCGGAAATCCACAGACCAAAGACTCGAAACGTGATTAGCTTCACGCCTTTTTCGATATTCTTAGACATTTAATATCCCGATTTCCAAAGTCCACCATGTTCCAGACAAAATAAATAAATAATTTTTGTTACAATTAAGTTTGGACCCGGTGGAAATGGAAGCCACGACCCGTTGATTACTAACCAATATATTATTACCATTAACAACAAGTTAACCTCTGTTGCATGTTGCACAAAGCTCCGTACAAACTAACTTTGATGTTGAATGCAGTGACACTATCAAAAGCAACTTTACGAGCCAACATATTATATATTGCAAATCCAGGTAATTACAAAGCTTAGCGTTATTCGAGCAAATTGATGGAACTTTACCGTGTGTGAAATTGTGACGCGTTAGAAAAGTTATGTTAGCTCGTACAGGATTGATGTGCTTATAATGAGTCAGGATTTGCTTACATATTACTTGTACAAGGCATAAACAATTCTTTTACCATTAATCTGGCATCCATTTAGTTTATCTGTCCTTTTTGAGAGTTCTCGTTTATTTAGAAAACCGTTTTAACGAGAATACAAACACGCTATTGTAGGTTGTTTCAATACTTATTATAAGTTTTGCGGTCTCTACTTAGGTTTAATGGTGCACTGATTTGATTCCTGGGTGAAATATTGAATTTAGAACAGATAAGCATGAGGTTCGCTTGATGGAGGGTAAAATAACCAAGTCATATAACATCTTAAAACGATGCGCTGTAAACCTTAATTTGGCTTTGAATGTTCGGAAATTAACTGGCTGAAACTATAACGCGATTAAGTTTCGCTGCATTCGTGGATTCGTGACTGGGACAGAATTTGAATTTCAGAATTCTTTTTTTATAAATAAAGTTCAACATGTTTTATTAAAATTAAAAATTCATTAATATCTAATATTGATTAGAAATAAATTTAACCCGGTGGTAATCGTAACCACGACCCGTTTATTATAAGCCATACGATGCTATGATACTATAAGACTAAGGAGCATGTCAAAAAAACATTATAATTTACGGACTACAAAAACTTACAAATTAAAACAATAACATTTTTTTTTATTTCCCGTGATTCGATCTCGTGTGCATAATAAAGTTAAATTGGAAATTTCACAATTAAACGGCACGTTTTACAAATAAATTCAGATATTTACTGAAACTTAATAACACAGTAAACTGTATATATAATTAATTCCATCGCAATTCGTTTAACATGCTAAAAATATCACAAAATATGAATATTTAACGTTCAGTTCCGCGTAATTAATAGACAATGTGTACATTTTGTTAAGCGGATAATGCACGTCGTGTTTGGATACGACGCGCTTTTCCCTAGACAAACAATGTACAATGTGTAGTCAGCCTTTTAAAAACAATGGCTGTGCAAACGTTGAGACTACATTACTTTATAATAGACTAACATTGTTAATTTATTAAAATAATTGATTGAAAAAATTTATGATACTACTCGATTGCTTAGAGCAGCAGCACGGATCCCTCATCGGATATATTAATAAAACTATGTCTTTATAGACACAAAAAGATATCTGCCCCAACCTCCTCATATGGGTGTAATGGCAATTCACACAAAATCAAATCGAAACTTAACCTTCTTACTTCCCGTCGTATGGTAAGAAAATCGAATAGATTATATTAATCTACATTTTAAAAAATCTCAAGTTACAAATACGTAAAACGGGGTTTTCAATTGTAAGAATGTCATCATACTGGTTTATAATAATTTGTATGACGTATGTTTTATACTTAATATACATATATCTACTCTTCTTGTAGTTAATGAGAGCGTCTTGTTGACAACAGGTCGACAGCATAGAAACAGTCTCAAGACAATTGTCATAGTTACAATTTAATCAATATTGAGCGCTTTATGCTGCAGATATAACGTTTAACAAAGGTGAAGCAAGAATAGAGAACTATTGAACTATAAATATGTATTAGTTTGTAAGACATGTTGAAAAAAGCTAGACTGAGTTTCTTGGGTGTTCTTCTCGGTTATGTTGCTGTTTTGAACACTGAACAATAAAAGAAAAAAATTTGTGTATAGTTATTTTTATAGAGAACAAAATAAATATCTTATTTTATTTTAAAAAATAATGAGCGAAAAGAAGATGTATAATAGTACATATTTGTTTACTTTATTTTATAATTATCACT